CCCCGTTCTCCCCCCCATCCCTCCCCGTCCCTTCTCCACCACCCCCTCCTCCCCCTCTCCCAGGTGGCACGAGGCCAAGCCTTTACCAGGGGCCCATCGGCTGCTCTCGCACCTGACAGCAGCGCACGTGCCTGTTGCCCTCGCCTCCAGCTCCCCGCGGGGCATCATTGCCACCAAGCTCGCCCTGCAGCCAGGCCGGTACTCTCTCTGTGGGTTGGGGAAGGGGGCTGGTGGGGGAAGGATGGGGAGGGGTGGGAAGCGGGTGGAGGGGGGAGGGTGGGGAGGGTTTGGAGGGGAAGATGAGGGCGGGGGAGAGGAAGGGGGGTTGTGCTAGAGTCTGTTTTTGAGTCACGTACTTCAGATGTTGTAGGGGATTCCTTTACCAGGGGCCCATCGGTTGCTCTCGCACCTGACAGCAGCGCACGTGCCTGTAGCCCTCGCCTCCAGCTCCCCACGGCCCATCATTGCCACCAAGCTCGCCCTGCAGCCAGGCGGGTACTCCTCTCTGTGGGTTTGGGGTGGGGTGGGTGGGGGGAAGTGGGTGGGGGAAGCGGGAATGCGAGGGGGTGGAAGGTGGGGGGTGGTGGGGGGGGTGGGGGAAGCGGGAAAGCGGGAGGGTGGGAGAGAAGGGGGTGGAGGGGAAGGGGAGTTGGGGGGAGGAGGGATGTGTGCTAGTGCTAGGGTTACTTTGTGTGTGCGCAGGGGTGGTGTTGGAAAGGAAATGGGCCGTGAAGGGAGGGGGGGAGAGAGTACAAGGGAGGGGGGAAGGGGAGCGGATGGGGAGGGAGGGTGCTCTCTTTGCCCCTGGTTGAAATTTTAGATGTCTCAAAAGTCTCTTGCCCTTGCCCTTTCCCTTGCCCTTTCCCTTTCCCTTGCCCTTTCCCTTTCCCTTTCCTTTCCCTTGCCCTTTCCCTTTCCCTTTCCCTTGCCCTTTCCCTTTCCCTTTCCCTTTCCCTTTCCCTTGCCCTTTCCCTTTCCCTTTCCCTTGCCCTTTCCCTTTCCCTTGCCCTTCCCTTTCCCTTGCCCTTTCCCTTTCCCTGGCCCTGGTCCTCCTTGCCCTTGGATAAAATTGGTTCAAGACTTGTTTGAATCTTCACTTGTTGTATCATGCCTCGTGCCACTCGGCTTTCTTGCCATTCCTCTTTCCCCTCCAACTGGCTGACGCTGTTACCTTCCGTCTCTCTTGCTGGTGTGCCGCTCTGTTCACTGTTATATGGCATGGCACTGCATAGCACGTATGGCACGTATGGCATGGCATGGCATGGCATGGCATGGCATGGCACGGCATGGCACGTATGGCATCATGGCATGGCATGGCATGGCATGGCAGCACTGCGTGGTATGGCAGGATGATATGGTTCGGTATGTTTCTGCACGGTATGGCATGGTATGGCACGGCATGGCACGGCATGGCACTGCATGACATGGCACGGCACGATATGCCGTGGTGTGTGTGGTGTGGTGTGGTGTGGTGTGGTGTGGTGTGGTGAATCAGGATGGCAGGACATGTTTGCGGTGACAGTAGCGGGGGAGGAGGTGGCACAGGGCAAGCCAGCTCCTGACATGTGAGTGGGTGGGAAGGGTGGGTGGGAAGGGTGGGTGCTCTCACCCTCCTGATTGCTCTCACCCTCCTGATTGCTCTCACCCTCCTGATTGCTCTCACCCTCCTGATTGCTCCCACCCTCCTGATTGCTCTCACCCTCCTGATTGCTCTCACCCTCCTGATTGCTCTCACCCTCCTGATTGCTCTCACCCTCCTGATTGCTCTCACCCTCCTGATTGCTCTCACCCTCCTGATTGCTCTCACCCTCCTGATTGCTCTCACCCTCCTGATTGCTCCCACCCTCCTGATTGCTCTCACCCTCCTGATTGCTCTCACCCTCCTGATTGCTCTCACCCCTCCTGATTGCTCTCACCCTCCTGATTGCTCTCACCCTCCCGTTTCTTCTCACGTTCCTGATTGCTCTCACCTTATTTTCACCCACCTGATTCCGCCCAGATTCCTGAGAGCTGCAGAGCTGATGGGGGCTAAGCCATCGGAATGCCTTGTCTTTGAGGATGCCCCGTGAGTGTGCTGATAGTATGAGTGTGCGAGAGCGAGTGTTGCGGAGAGAGAGTGTTGCGGGAGAGAGTGTTGCGGGGAGAGAGTGTTGCGGGAGAGAGTGTTGCGGGGAGAGAGTGTTGCGGGGAGAGAGTGTTGCGGGGAGAGTGTGTTGCGGGGAGAGTGTGTTGCGGGGAGAGTGTGTTGCAGGGAGAGTGTGTTGCAGGGAGAGTGTGTTGCAGGGAGAGTGTAACTCAGAGCTGCAGAGCTAAGCCATCGGAATGACAGGTCTTTGAGGATGCCCCGTGAGTGAGCGGACTGTGTGTGCTGATTAATCGCCCCTGTGTGTGCTAAGTGCACGTCTCTGATTGTGTGAGACTGTGCTGATTGCACATCCTGTTTACTGCACCCGTCACATTGCTGCAGTTTCTGTTTCAGAAGCCCACTCGCGTCTCCTCTCATATATCCTCAGGCATTCTCTTTCCCATGTCCGCACACACCACGCCATTCCTATATCCCCCAACCCCCGAACCCCACCCGGTCCTCTCTATTCCCATTTACAACCCCTTTTACGCTATTCACGCTTTTTTTCGCTCCTCTTCACACCCTCTCAGTGCAGGTGTGGAAGCAGCCAGGGCAGCAGGCATGTACGTTGTAGCAGTGCCCTCTCTTCCCCAGAAGGCTGCACGAGCACTCTACTCCTCCGCACACCAGGTAACTGATCTGGAGGCAGGGCAGGCAATTATGCTGTGGCAGTGGAAGGGTAGTGGGCGTATATGTCGTGGCCGTGCCTTCTCTAGCACAGATGGCTGCACGGCCACTCTACTCCTCTGCACACCCGGTAACCCTTCTGAACCCCTCTCTCTCACATCCCAGCCACCCTCCCAGTAACCCGTCTGGGCTGTTCTTAACCGACAATAGGTCAAGTGGCACCAAATGCAGGTTTTCGAATAGACCACGTGCCTTTTAGATGGCCTTCTCTGGGTGACCAAATGCTTGCTGCTCTGCTCTTGTATTTTTAGAATTCTCAAGAAACAGACTATGCGGCTTGTAGATGACCTTCTCTAGAATGCTTGCTGCTCTGGCTCTTCAGCTGGGTGACTGAGGCTGCATCTTTGTCCCCTCCCTCCCCCCTCCCCGCAACCCCCCCCTTCCCCCCCACTCCCGCTCCCTCGATCCCTTACTTTGCCCACAAGAGTTGAACTACTCGTCTTTTCTTAACTCCTCTCTCTTCCCCTCTCCTCGCTCTACCTCCCATCTCCTCCTTTCCCTTTCCTCCTCTTGTATTCTCTGCTCCTCTCCTCAGCGTCTCTCCTGTGTTTTCTTCTCTCCTTACACTATCCTCTCCTCTTATCATCTCATCCTGTGTTCTTTGATAAGGTTTTCTGTTTTATCTTTTCCGCGCCGCCCTTTCCACTGCTCTCCTCTGCTCTCCCACGCACACCTCTCCTCCCTTTCATCCTCTCCACCCCTCACTCTCCCCCTCCCTCTGCCCCTCCCCGTCCCCCTCCCTCTCCCCCCCTCCCTCTCCCCTTCCCTCCCCCCCTCCCTCTCCCCTCCCTCTCTCACTCCCCTTCGACCTACACCACCAGATTCTTGCTTCGCTATTAGACTTTCAACCAGCTGAGTGGGGCCTGCCGCCTTTCACTGACTGTGAGTCAAGCTCATCACCGTTCAATAACAAGAAAAATCAATCCCAAACTACTAAATGAATTAATTTGTGACGAACGGTCTTGTAAGCTGTACCTGGCTTTTTCAGGAGCAGACAAAGTTCACCTCTGTCAGCTTACAAGACTTTACCAACCACACCACTCCCCCATCCCCTCTTATCCTAAGCCCCTTCCCAACCACCTCCTTGCCCACCTCCCTTAAACCCTTTCCTTCCTCCCCACCGTCACTTCTTCCCTCCCCTCCGCCCACCCTCCCACGTTTCTCCCTTGACACTCTAACCTTCCAACCTTCCCATCCCCTTGTCCCACTTCCCCTCCCACTGTTCCCCCTTGACACTCTAACCTCCCCCAGGGGTGCACGAGTCACTGCCCATCGACCCCTGGTACATGAAAGGGCCTGTTATCAAGGGCTATGGGAGAGGATCCAAGATTCTAGGCATTCCCACAGGTGCGTGCGTGCATTCATGCGTTCGTGCATGCGTGAGTGCGGCCGTGAAATCGGGAGAGTGGGAGGGGCTTTTTACTCGCTGCCGTGTGCACGGGCTATGGCAGGAGGGTCTGAGATCCTGGACATTCCCACAGGTGCGTGCGTGCATCCCCTCTCCCACCTGTGGTTAGTCGATTCTTGAGTCGACTCAAAAATCGTGCGTGCATCCCCTTTCCCACCCGTTCTCTCTCTCTGCTACAGGCCACCTGGCAGGCAGAGCACACGTGTGGATGGGACCTGCCATGGGTGGGTGGGACAGAAGGAGGGAACCTTTATACCAATGAAGCCACGTATCCCACTTCCTCCCTCCCCATCCCCAAATCTCGCTCATACTCCACACCACGTCTCCCCATCTCTCCTCTCAACCTACTCTTCCCTCCCCATCTGCTACCAGCCAACCTGCCGTCCTCCTCATTTGCAGTTTGCCTGGCAGAGCACACGTGTGGGATCTACCATGGGTGGGTGGGATAGAGGGCTTCTGTGTGCCAAACAAGCTCCTACCTCACTTCCTCCCTCCCCATCCCCTTTCTTTCACTTCCTTTACCACACCACACCCCGCTCCCTTCCTCTCTCCCTTCCTCTCTCTCTTCCTCACTCCTCATTCCCCATCTGCTACCAGCCAACCTACCGTCCTCCTCATTTGCAGGGCACCTGGCAGAGCACACATGTGGGATCTACCATGGGTGGAACAGAGGGCATCCGTGTAACAAACAAGCCACCTACCTCCCTTTCTCCCTCTCCATCCCCTTTCTTTCACTTCCTTTACCACACCACACCCCTCTCCCTTCCTCTCTCCCTTCCTCACTCCTCCCTCCCTTCCTCACTCCTCCGTCCCTTCCTCACTCCTCCCTCCCCATCTGCTACCAGCCAACCTACCCTCCTCCTCATTTGCAGGGCACCTGGCAGAGCACACATGTGGGATCTACCATGGGTGGGCGGCCTTGTCGGGGAGGGGTGTGTTCAAGATGGTCATGAGCGTGGGCTGGAATCCCTTCTTCAACAACACGCATAAAACAGTGGTGGGTGCGAGTGTGGTATGTGTGTGTGCACCCCCGTGGCATGGGTGGGTGGGTGCGTGGGTTGGATGGATGGGTGTGTGGGTGGGTGGGTGGGTGCGTTTGTGCTTGGGTGCGTGGGTGCGTGGGAGCTTATGTTGATCCTCCCTCCCCACTTTCGCTTCCGCCCACCCCACCGCTCTCTAGCCCTGGTTACTGTGGGTGTGAGAACACTAGACTGTCTTCTCCGTTGCCCATGCTTCCACTCTCATTCACAGCCTTCCCCCCTCTCCTCACATCGCTTCTCTCCTTTCCTCTCCTCCTGTCCTCTCCACTTCTCCTTATCTCCTCGTCTCTTCACCCCTCTCTTCTCCTCATCTCCTCTTCTCTTCTCCTCGTCTCCCCTTCTCTTCTCCTCATGTCCTCGCCTCCTCACCTCTTCCCCTCCCTCCTCTCCCCTCGTCCCCCTCTCTACTCAAGAGCCCTGGCTGCTGCACGACTTTCAAGAGGAATTTTATGGAAAAGATCTGAGGCTGCTTTTGATTCGACTCAAAGGTTTCCCCCCGTTCCCCCGTCTCCTCTCAGGAACCCTGGCTACTGCATGATTTCGGAGAGGACTTTTACGGGGACGAGCTAAGACTGCTGGTTGTTGGGTACATTCGTGCAGAGGTGAGGGTGGAGGTAGGGGAGAAGGCAAGGTGGCAAGGGGGAAACGGAGGTACAGATGCTTTCAGGTCATATAGGAACTCGACACCTTTTCTTGGCACTGTACTGATGAGGGCACATCACCATCCATTTCTCTGCCTCTCATGCTGTGCCTTCAAAATGGCCTGACCCAGTGCACCCCAAAAAACTAACAAGAAACAAGAAACAATATTCCGTGCACCCTTCTAACAGCACCTGTCCTCCCCCTCCCCTCCCCCGTTCTTATTTTCCCCTTTCATCGTCGGTGTATTATTGTCGTTTATTCTTGTTGTATGCAGGCTGACTTCCCTGACCTGCCGTCATTAATTGCACGCATTCACCAAGATGGGGAGATTGCACGCAAAGCGCTAGACAACCTGCCATTCACTGCATACAGAAATGACCCCTTCCTCAATATCCCTTAATGTGAGGCTTACATTAAACATGGAATTTGATTCCTTGACATTGTCTGGTGGTACCAGGTACTGAGGTTACGGTTCTTCACCACAACACCTACAGTCCCCACAAAGATGCTACCTAAAAAGTCTGTCTGCTGTGACTCAGAAGCTCAGCACTGCCATGCATGACAGGCTGGTGTACTACTACCGTATTGACATACTGTAGAATGCAGCGAATCGAGGCTTATCTATTTCATGATATTGAATCTCTACCATCAAGTAGATAACATTATAAAAGAAAAACACCCCAACCCCACACTGCTTCCCAGCTACTCCTGAAACCACCAGTTTCTGCTAACAAGAACTGACTCAATAGACAAGAGACCGAAAGATGGACCAGTAATGTGAAGCACCACAAACTGGAGGAATGCAGTATGGATAGTTTGATGTGGGAAAGACAAGCTTCATGCCAGCTGCCTCCACTAGCAGACTATCGCATCTCCAGCGCTGCTTCACACCAACCTCCCTCCAATGAACAGACGCTCTAATGCTAATGGATGTGCACATGAGATCAGTCACCTGATCAAGGTTCCACCTCTCCAATAATAGAGCCGAGCAATCCCTCCTGCTAAAACTTGCTGGACGTTTAAACGGCCTGAGATGTGGCCATGGGCTTGCTAGGGTGAATGCACATGTTGCACAGTTAAGCACAACAGTTGGAAGCAGCAGGTGCAGGAGCGGATGTGTCTCGGATATTGAGATTACTTGGTTTCTGCATTCAAGGAGGAAGGGCAATTTACAAGGGAGAAGAAATTAAGCAAACAAGTCCCGTATAATACCATATGATAAAAAAGTAAGGGAAGTTAGGCAGGTCAAAAGCAAGATGCGTACCTCCGTGTTGGCTGCGTGTGTAGCTTCATAACGCTTTTTGCTCTCTCTAGCGATACACACGAAGGCCTCTTCGACATTGATATCAGCCTTAGCAGACTGCACCGACAACAAAAAATCAGAGATGAGCAATGCAAGGAAAGAAAAGTGAAAGGAAGCAGTCCCTGCATCAGAATTGCAGCACGTACAGTTTCAAAGAAGTTGATTTTAAACTCGTTCGCAAGTTGCTGCCCCTGGTCCTTTGTCACCACCTGAAGTTACAGCAAACAAAGCTCATGAGTAGATATACAGGCAACCAAACATGACTAGAACTATGACATGACTAGAACTATGACACTTACCCGCCGGTCCTCCATATCAGCCTTGTTGCCCACCAAGATCTTGCAAACGCTCTCAGAAGCATGCTCCTCAATGTTTCGGATCCAACCACGAATGCCTGAAATTTATATAAGTTCATAAAAATCACGCTTCCTCTGACTATACAAGAACAAGAAGAAAAAAGACAATGGAACAAAAGTGCGGCCCTTACTGTTAAAGGACGATTCGCTGGTGATGTCGTAGACAAGAACGATACCGTTAGCCCCGCGATAATAAGCTGCAAAGAAGCGAGGGAATAAGATTAGCTCGAATGATCTCTTCGTGTCCAAATTTCTCAGGAACCAAAAAGTGGAGAGAAAAAATCCACCTGCAGTGATGGTGCGGAAACGCTCCTGTCCTGCTGTATCCCAGATCGACAGCTTCACTTGTTCCCCATCAATATCAATGGTGCGGGTCTTGAAATCGACACTGCAACATCGAACATGCGTCACAATAGGCACAAGCGGATGTCGAAGACGGACCACGATGCCTTGTAAGCACAATGTTAAAATGACTAAAGCAATTTCACTCCAACGAACACAACAAGCATGCTGCACAATGCATTTATGCATACAAGCAACATGGGAATTAAAATAATGTATGCATCCTCCAACCATCATCCGAGCCATGAACGGCAAGCTTATGCAATCCAATCACAATCAGATCTGGGATGATTGAATACAGATCCGGGAGAAAAAATAAGGACGTACCCAATGGTTGATATGAAAGTGTGGCTAAAGGAATCTTCTGCGAACCGTAGCAGCAAACTAGACTTTCCGACAGCTGCGGAGTAATTGATTGCACCCAAGATCGGAACAAGGGGGAAAACATCATAAGCGCGGCATCAACGCAAGGCATAAGCAGAAGAACAAAGGAAAAAGGACTGAAAGCAACTCGAAGATGAACAGGCTAATGCTTCTCGCACTGCAACATTCAGAAGAGAGAGAGACGAAGCGATGAGAGCAATAAACAGTGAAGTGGGATGACCGCCTTGACGTAGCTAGAGATTCAGAACGTCCGAGGCAAAACAACGCTATGAGGTCGGACAGTGCAACAAGAGACTGACGTAAGGTAGAATAACAAAAAACGGGGGTCGTGAAGCAGCTACGTTAGGTTAAACGGAGAAAACAAGTGAACGCCTATTGCTTCTACAGCTCCATAATGTGCGAAATATAGCGTAACGAAACCTCTGTTCCTTAACAGCACTCGCAAAACTAAAAAAATGCCACAGATTAATATGGATCCGCGACTTTACCACTATCTCCGATCAGGAGAAGCTTGAGTCTGGTTTCTCCGTGCTTGCGTCCAGTTGACATGGTTCGAGCCGGAAGAAAAGCAAAAACGTGTGGACGTTAGCAGCAGATCAAGCTTCTAAATCGGAGATCACTGTCTGGAAAAAGTAGCTTTCAGGAGGCTATGGCGAATGTTGATGTCCTAGGCAGGAGGCAGGTAAGATGTGCAGGTGAGATGGCGGAGAGGAGACTAGGACATCAAGAAATATAAAATGTGGGAATGAGGCAGATCCACTCCGTCACGTCAAGGGCACCAAACCAAACCCTCGTTTTCAAGCCTATACTTTTCCAGGAAGGGTTGATTGGTCGTCAGTCACGAGCTACCAGATCTCGCCACAACGTACAGCAGCAGCACATGGATGGGAGCAAATGAGGTATGGCCTTCCCCCAGCCCTAGCGGTGTGGTGGCCCCGCCAGGATTTTAGCGGAAGTTATTGCCCGAACAAGCCCGCGGAACCCGAAGGACCTGGGCTGACAATACCCTTACGTTCGGTTTGACCGGAGCTTTTCCCGCCTTGCTGCGGAACAACCGAACCTCATCACGATGGCGTGATGACTGGGGCACGGAAACAATCTTGCCCAACGACTAGCTTCGGTCGCTGATTTATTGGAGCCCCAAGGCAGCTTGCTTCCGCAACCAACGGTGTAGCAAACTCGGCCAGCTTCGAAATGCATCCGAGCCTCGCCTCCCGCAAAGCTCTCCCATCATGGGAGATAAACAGACAGACAGTTCCTCAGGTGTGAGATTATCCCATACAAAGCGATGCGTCAGTGAAGTGTTACGTGTTGGGCACACTACGGACACAGAGTTAGTAATAAGGTAGATAAAAATAATCACATTCTCTAACTCAATGGTAAAAAACACATCCAATGTTCTCATCACACACACTGACACACACACACGCACACACACACACACACACACATGCACACACACACACACACACACACATACGCACACATGCACGCACACGCACACACATACACACACACACACACACATACACACACACACACACACACACACACACACCCACACACACACACACACACACACACACACACATTCACACACACACACGCGCGCGCACACACACACACACAGACAGTGTGTCAACAACAATTCAGGGGGCACCTTGTGTTTGGGGACAGTGACTCCGTGAGTCCAAGATTGCAAAGATGAGAAACTTGAAGTTGTGCAGTGAGTTTTGCATTGACCAATCAAATTGTCTCACACCTATCGTAACCACAATCTTGCAAAGATACAAAACTCAAACGCCAAGTGTGCAAAACCAGTAAGGTTGGCACGCACGTATCACAATAATATATGTTCCGCTATATAACTGCCTGAGGGGTTTGCAGTAATGTAGTTGATTAATTCAGCAGAATCCTCGTCGGCATGTGGATGGCGGGCGTCAACTATTCGACGCCGTCCTACATCACGTACGTCGTAAAGGGACTACCGAGCGGCTATAATCTAATGCGTCAGATGATGGCGATGCCCAGCGTGCGTGAGACGCTCAACGAGGATACCCTCATGAGCCACATAATCAAGGATGAGGCTATGTAGGAGGAAGAGCGGCCCACGGAGCTCCTTCCGCAGGCGAACTTCGTCGCCCCGTCGAAGCAGAGTCGTCAGCAGGGACAAAGCGGGAAGCAGAGCGGAGGTGATAGCGGAGGTGGGAAATCGGCGAAGAACGCTGACCGGTCGAAGTCGGCTCGTGACAACAGTCCAGGCGGAGGCGGTCGACGGCGGGAATGCTGGTTATGAGGCGAACCCGACCACATCTCCTTCGAGTGCCTCGATCGCGAGAAAGCGACGACGACGACAAGGGAGGCAGCGGGAACCCCAACCCTAAACCCTCGACGCCAAGACAACAAGCCACGCAAGGAGAAGCCGTCGTCGAAATAGACGCCGTCGACGAAGGATGCTCACTCCTCTTTCGCCAAAGGTCGAGGCGACGGGGAGGCGTCGTGCTCGATGGTCGAAGTCGTAGAGTCTACCGTCGGAGGCCGAAGGCCAGGGAGGACTTCAAGGCGGTCGCAGCCGCTATGCATGCGAACCCGTCGGTGGTGCTACTCGACAGCGGTTGTTCCCACCATCTGATGGGAACGAAGGAGGTGTTCGTTGGAATGAAGCCTGAGCATGTGCGTGGCTTCAACGAGGCGTTGCAGAACGTCGAAGACAGTGGCACCGTCGCTCTGCGAGGGGACACTGGGAAGCAGATTCTCGTTCCCGACCTGCTCTACGTTCTGGGCGTGCATGCTAACCTGCTGTCGGCCGGCAAGCTGCTGAAAACAGCGTGAAGCTGCAGGACGTCGACGATATGATGCTCGTCTCGGCGGCGGGGGACGTGCTAGGTCGGGCGAAGTATATCGGACGGGTTCTCTGCACCGACCTTCGCCCTTGCTCGACGGAGTCAATGTCAGCCCCGGCAGAGGTGGTGGCTCTGCGGACGATCACCTCGGCGATGAAAGCTACGCCGTCAC